TTTATCTTTATATATTGTATAATATGAAGTAAAAGCAGGCCTAGCAAAATGCCAATATTCCCTTTCCTGTATGTATGGTTGACTGTACTTACATTTATATGTCTTAATATATAAAATTATCTCTAAATGTCTTAATATATAAAAATGTCTACATGTCCCAACCTTCTAACATCCTGAAGCTCTGTTGCATTTCCCCATAACAAATGGAAAGGCTGTTTTTATTGATCTTTTGGGTATAGTGACATTGAGCTAGAAATTAATTGGCTTCAATGCATACAACAGTGTGGGAATGCAGAACTCCAAAAGCGAGAACTGCATAGAAATGTTTTCTTTCTTTTATGTGGCACTCCTTCATGTAAATAAAACATGCTTCTCCAGCTGAAGGAGAAAATTGTCAGCAAGACTGATAAGGAATTTCCTGGAAAGACATTTTTGGAAGAGTTGTTCTCTCAGCAGATGTCAGAGTAATTAAAGTCCCCCATTATTGCAACTTCATTGCTTTTTAAAGATCTGCAGTTTTCTTTTGGAAAATATTATCCACAATTTTTCTTTGGTTGGTTTAATGTTAGTGGGCACCCAAAATGGTACTGCTTTATTCATCCTCCTACTTATTTTACCAAAGGCTTTCAAGAATGCCACCTTATTCATTCCCTTGGATTGCAATACAGAAGTGCATATTTTAACATATAATTCAATTCCTTTCCCCTTTCTGCTGCATCTGTTCCTTTTGAATAACTTTTCAAAGGTTTTGAAATTACTATATTCCAGCTCTGAAAATCATCCCACCAAGTCTCAGTCAAAACTATAAAACATATTTGTCTTCCTATATCAGGACCCCAGACTCATCTTGTTTATTTTCCATTCTCTGGGTCTTAATATAAAAATAAGGAAAGACATGAACTTTACAAATCAATTTTCTTCCTGATTTTTCATTGAACAATTTAAGAGGTGCCAGAGTAATTAAAGAAGAAACCTCTGTATGTTTCACAATATATTCTTCCTTTTCTTATCACCTAGCATTTACCAGCATTGAATCCTGGTATTCGTGGCCGATTTTGAGCCAATGAAGCCTGTCATCATATTAGGGTCTGTACATTTCAGAAGCTGTCAGGGGTTGAGGTCCCCAACTATGGAATGTATAATTTAAACAATCCTTTTTCTTTTGTAAATATTCTTTTAGATTTGTTTTTGTAAATGGAAAAAAGAAAGAAAGAAAGGAACAGATCCATCTGGAGAATATTTGCTAGCAATACTATACTGCTTAGCATAGAATATCAAGCAGTTGAGATGTATACAAACTTGACAGGTTTCCATAAAGCAGTATTCTCAGGTCAAAACAAAATAAAAACTCTTTTGCAAAATGTTAAAATATCTGATTGCACTGTTGCTAGATCAGACATTTTGTTACTCCATTCAGCTTTATATTAATCCATGCTTATGTTGCTATGATTTCAATTCTGCCCCATGCTGGGATTTACTGCTAAGAGCAGGGAGATTCCTGCTACTAGATCAAGTGCAATGATTGCTTTGTTCTTTACTGAATGGCACATTAAAGAAGGCTTGCATTATATATGATGCGCAAATCAAATACAGTTGAACACTACACAGTCTAGCAGCTTTGGTAAGTCACAATATATAGCTGGTGGTTCTTTCATCTCAATCACATAAAGTTGCAAAAGGATATGATAAGGATTTTAGTGAAAGATCAAGACTCAATTCTATCTCTGCAACAGCCTTCAAAACTGTATTTTGAACATAATTTCATTCATTCGAATAAAGTTAATTGAATTGTTTTATATACAATATCTTTAAAGCCTACTAAATCTCAAAGATTTAATTATACTTTAATTACACAGGAGCCTGCAATCCAATCCAATGTTAAGTAACTAAAGCCTGTTTATTTTAGTGGATTTAGGTCTGCTGGATTATAGTCCATGAATATGGTTGTTTTTCTTATTTACTGAACTGATTTTTTGAACTGATTGCCACCTCTCGAAGACAATTACCAGCTTGGGGCATGTGCAACCTGATGATTTGACTGTTTCCATCCATTTCCAGCAGAATGACAAAAAGTTCAATTTAGACAGTCAAACTATTGTGAGGGTTCTTTTAAAATGGATAAATGGCAGTCATAGGTAAGTGTGGAGAGTCTTGGGAGGGGAAACATATGTGGATGTATATGTGTTTGTAACACCACTCCCTTCTTATAATGATTTGGATTTGAAGAGCAAAAGATAAAATTATGGTCCATTAGTTCTTCTGTTGGAGGTGGGGTTCCTCTGTCCTCTATGATGCTGCTGTATGCATTTGGGAAAAGTTCCCACTGATGCCAGAGAAAAATTCCCTTGAAAGACAAGTAATAGCCTGAGAAAGAGAGATGGTGGCAGGGTAGAAAGAGTAAACTTCTCTTCAGCTTCATGGTCCCAAGATTCCTCAGGCTGCTCTACAAAACATGCATGTGAACTGCTGTGATGAAATTAAGGACGCGTTTACTTTACCCTAACCTTACAGCTGGTGGCAGATACTTTTCTGCCTGTAAAATTTCAATATTGTTGTTTTTCCATTGATTTTATTTCCCATGATCCCAAACAATGAAGAAGGATCTCCAGTCCAGCTCTACTAGTGAGACTCTGGCTTCATGCAGCAGTTGGTCTCACTCACTTTGGAGTTCACATCAAAAACGTTATCTGTCTTGTTCAGGGACATGCTATGCAACTGAATTCAGGATAAAGCGCATTTGATTCTTATGCCAAGTAGTTTGTATTAATGATCAGTTATGTTAGAACCAAATTTGGATTATTTTCTATGTTACATCATTATTATCCTTCTGCTTGTTTATGAAAGTATTACAGCAACAGCTGCCAGCATAGGTGCTGCTGGAATCCCACAGGCTGGCCTTGTGACCATGGTCATTGTTTTGACATCAGTGGGGCTGCCTACAGATGACATCACTCTAATAATTGCAGTTGATTGGGCTCTGTAAGTAACACAAAGGTTTTCTTTTCTTCGCATTTTTCTAATGAGATGTGTGAGGATTGGATGGTTCAGTTTATAGGGAGCTACCATTCACTTTGATGTCAACACTGAATGAGTACATGGCCACAACAAGGGATAGCACAGCTTACTCATGGTTGGGCTTTCTGTTTGTCTGTTTTTCATCTATAAGATGGATACATGAAAATATAAGAATTACCCTTCCAGAATTAAACCAAAAACTGTCTAGTATAGACAGAGTATCGTCTCCGACCGTGATCAACTAGATATCATTGAATGATTATGAAAGGGAGCAATAGTGAATTATTCTTTAAGTGTTTTCAGAATCTGAGCTGTCTGAATGTCTATTCAACCTTGGTAAAATTGTTTCATCTTCGGTTTCTTTACTGACTGTGGGACATTTGCACCAAAATAATTCAGTGCATCTTTCCTTCCACCATGTTACCTGGGTCACTAGCTACCACATAACTCCAGAGCATAAGAGAGCTGCCCCCATGCTCACTGATTAGCAAGCATTATTTTCTGCAAATGCTTCACCTTTTCTTCTTCAAATATATCTTGCATGGCTGTGGTGGAACAATTCTATTCTTATTTTATCAGTCCAAGTACTTTGTTCCAAAATGTTTTAGGCTTATCAAAATTCTCTCTTATGCATATTTTAGATGGCAATTTTGAGGTTGAGGTCAAAGACCAGGTTTCTTTCTGATAACGTCTAGCCCGCAATCAGTGAAGAAACTGAAGCTGAAAAAAGGTTGCATATCTGGGCCCCTTTTAATTGGGGGGTGATGTTAGACGCATACATCTGTGGTGCTTTTATATAATTTTGGGTGCTTCTTTTATTTCTTTATTCACTTCCTCGTGAGATGGGCGGTGTCCAAATTTGAAAAATAAATAAATAAATAAATAAAGTTGTTGTCTTTTAATCTCGTGACACCTCCCAGACTTCTTTTGCAGTTGAGCAACCTAGAAATTCAACAAACAAAGAAATGTTGCAACAAGACAACAACCAATTTTTGGCATACAAGTGAATGCAGAACGCATGTGGAATATTCCTGGGGACCTCTGCGCCCTGAAGATCTCTTTATTTTTAACTTTCTGGGTGGACATGGCAGACTGTGATCCAGAAAGTTTTAGGCAATGAATCATTTGTTAGTTTTTGAAGAGCCACGAGGCTGTATTTTTGCTGCAAAAGTTTAACACAGCTATCACTCTAAAATTTCCAACATTAAGGAAAGCTTAAAACAACAACAACAAGAAAAAACACATACCAAGAGAAATTCAAAATAAATTCTCAGGGAACCGAAGAATACAGAATAAAAACAGAAGCTGCCTTTATAGGGGAGGAAAACTTACGAGAGATTGCAAAGCAGATTTTAGCAAAACATTAATGGGAATTATGGCCAAAACAAAATGTGAAAATAACAGATGTCTTCATAAATAATGTCTTCATTTGCACTTACATTAGTTAGTGGCAAATAAAATCTCTCTGTTTCAACTCAATTTTATGCTAAAAAAACCCCAAAATCTGGACATTGCTGATTTTGGACCATGTTTCACTTTTCTAAGCCAAACATCTGGATGTTCCTGAATTTCAGTTTGATGACCCACATCAATATAATAACCATTGTGATTGACTTCTCAGATGTGCTCTTTTGCACTGAAAAAATAAAGGAATCATATGATGCATTTCAGACTTAATGTACCTCTGCCAGATGAACTTGAGTCAACTTCAAACAATGCGCTAAAAGTAACTCCAGCTAATACACCTGCTTTTTCCTCTCAGTTTTTAAGTTTAAGTTCCTTAAATCAATTTAAAGCTGTACTTGGCAAATCTTTCGTTTTTCAGCATTGATCTGTGAAAACCACAAGTCAGAATGAAATTGATTTTCTCTTACAGTTTTAAAAACAACTGTGTGCATTTATTTAAAAATGTTACCAAGAGCTGACGTAACAGCAAATGCGGACAATGGAGAGAGATTAATCTAAAATACAGCATCAGACATTCTGTTCTCTCTTTGTCTTTTGCCAACTTATTCCTCAATTCTCCTACATTCTTCTATATATCCATCAGCTATAAATGTCCAGACCTTATTGTTTTTCCAGTTGAAATCCAAATGTTTTCTACTTTCCATTTGGACTGGCTTAACAGCTCCCTTGCTTGCGTCTTTGTTTTTGATTTCCTTTTTAAAAAAAACATTCCGTTTAATCTAGTCTACCTCCTTATTCTTCCATTTTACTCTAAAAGCATGTTCCAGTTTTATTTAACAATTAGCTTAAGATTGCTTGCTTCTTTATTCATAAAAGTTTTCTAATATTTCTTTTTCTCTTCCCTTTCCTTCCTTCCTTCCTTCCTTCCTTCCTTCCTTCCTTCCTCCCTTCCTTCCCTCCCTCCCTCTCTCTCTCTCTCTTTCTTCCTTTCTTTCCCAGCTCTTTAAATGTGTTACACTAGATTCTCTACTTTATAATTAATTCCAGATCAATTCTCTTGGGGATTCCTGGTGCCAATTAAATAGAATTTGGAGATCAGAAGCACAATGCTGGTTGTGTTTGGGGGTTCTGTTTAGGGACTTTTAGCTACTTATTTGTCACCAAAATTCTTTTTTGCTCAATTATTTCTTGTTTTAAATCCCACATAGGAAAGCAAATACAGGGCAAAATAAAAACCATGAAGGTTTTTCTTTCTTCAGTTACTTTTTTTGCTTATTTAAAAAAAAATGGGAAAATCAAATATCAAAGGGAACACAAAAGAATAGGCATTTATGTCACAGAAATGGATTAGGAAAAGGGACACCCAAATGCTCATGGAATGTTTTTTATGTCTTGTTGACATCATGCTTTCATACCATAAAATTAATCCAGGGAATTTCTGTATTGGACCAGTTTGATCTGACATAGTGTGGTGGTCTACACATTTAAACTCATTGGGTGCCTTTATTCCTATCCCTGTACTGTATTATCTATTGAGTAAACATGACATCAGATTGTGTGCACGTACTGTTACTTTCCGTACAAATAACTATGTAGATCAATGGACATTTATATAACAAAGAAAAGGAAACTTTCTTTTA